GTTTGGGGCGAGTGGGGGCCATGGGGGGCGTGAAGGCGCCTGGAGCAGGGTTTGGGGCGAGTGGGGGCTTTGGGTGCACGGGCCAGGGTGGAAGGGTGTGCAGTGGACGCGTGGGCCGAGGTGCGTGCAGCGTAAAGGCGCCAGGAGCCCAGGTTGGGGGGAGGGGAGGATGGACGGACTGGGATATACAAGGGGGTTGGGGGTGAGCTTCGGGGACACTGACTGAGGGGCGGTGTGGGGGCTGGGAGCAGTAGGAACCAGGTTGGGAGTGAGAACAAAATGGAGGATTGAGCGAGGAAGATGTGAGTGGGGGCGGGGAGTAGGTTTTGTATCCCTTGCTACAGCCCTTTCGAGTTCTTCCGGGATGGCGGGGGGGAAACCAAACCAACAACCAAGGTCACAAACAAACCAAAAAACCATTGCCATTGAGAGCACCCTGGCTCCTGGCGTCCCCGTGTGTGTCAGAGTAGAACTGCACCCATAGGGTTTTCAGTGGCTATCCTGAGGGGACTGTCTTTCGCCAGACCTTTCTTCTGAGGGATCTCTGGAGGGAGACAAAGCAGCTGCCTTATAATTTGCATCTTAGTTATTTACAGGCCATAAGGACTGTACTTGGGAGTCCACTTCGGGTCTGAGGCTCCCTGAGGGGAGGAGCGCCTCTGTGAGGAGAGGGGAGGGGAACATAACACACTCCTTCCCTTGTCTCCAGCAGATTTCGTGCAGCTGCCCTGACCCAGGACTTGCCTGATTGGGATCGTGTGGGGTGCTGGGCCTAAGGTAGGTGAGCAGTGTGCTGGGAGGGGCCGCTTTGCCGCTGGTCCAGGGCAGGAGGGTGGGAACTGTCAGCTGTCTGCGCCTCTGCTCGAAGCTTCCACAGACTCTCATTGGCCACCTTCCCCCTTGTTGCGTCATCAGTCTCAGACCAGTGACATCACCTGTTGCTCAAGAGCTTTAACCTCGCTGCGTGACATTCGCTTGGCACAGAGGCCACTGTCCTGTTGCCATAGCAACACTACAGCTTGTCACCCGCTCCCCACACACACCGCCTCCCGGCCTTGCAATAAGCTCCAGCCCTTTCAGCTGTCAGGCGTTCGTTCGCCGAGGGGGCGCTGAGCTGCCCCAGACCCAAAGCCCCTGAGCTGGGCCCTTTCTCTTCACAGGTTCCTGTGGCAGCATCCCAGGGAGTGGAAGAGGAGCGCACCGTTGCAGAAGGTCAGTGGGTCAGGCTGATGGGCTGTGGGCAGCTCCGTGTGGGGACATCCCTCACACCCAACCCAGGAAAAGAAGGGGCAGCAGCCCCAGGGAGTGGGGGGTGGGGAGTAGGACCTCATGAGCGCATGCCCCTTTGCATTCACAGGCTGTCGTTGGCTGCAGTCACTCTCAAACTCGAGGCAGCCATGGCCGTGGCCCTGCTGGAGGATTGGTGTAAGGGGATGGATATGGACCCCAGGAGGGCTGTGCTTATCGTGGGCATCCCGATCCAATGTGGTGAGGAGGAGATCAATGAGGCCATCAGGGCCACCCTGGAGCCCCACTTGCCCCACAAGGTGGTGGGCTGCATGTTCCGCAGGGAAGACAACGCCAAGGCTGTCTTCCTGGAGTTGCTGGCGCCCATGAACTACGCTCTCATGCCCACTCACATCCTGGGCAGAGGGGGCGCCTGGGAGGTGGTGGTGAAGCCCCGCAACACTGACGATGAGTTTATGGATCACTTCAACTTCTTCCTGAAAGACGAAGGCCGGCGCTTGGTCGACGTCATCACGAGCATGGGCTACAAAGCCGCAGCTACCAGCGAGGAGCCCAAAGAGGTGTACAGCTTGCAGTCCCCGAACGACAGCATGTGGTACCGGAAGCTGAAGGTATTCTCTGGGGGCCAGGTCCCGCTGCCTGGCGAGGAGCCCTTTGAGATCTGGCTCGAGCAGGCCCAGGAGATGCTGCTCATGTGGCAGGTGACTGAGTTCGAGAAGCGGCGGCGGCTGCTGGAGAGCCTGCGTGGCCCCGCGCAGGCAATCATGCGCGTGCTGCGGGCCAACAACGAGGCCATCTCGGTGCAAGAGTGCCTGGATGCTTTGACCCAGATCTTTGGCTCTAAGGAGGACGGCCGCAGCTCCCAGTACCATTTCCTGCAGGCCACACAGAAGATCGGCGAGAAGACCTCAGTGTACTTGCTGCACCTGGAGCCCTTGCTCCACAAAGCAGTGCAGCACAGCCCCATTTCCATTCGCAGCATGGACACAATCCGCCTGAAGCACATCCTGAGCCGGGCCTCCCTCACTCCACCTCTCCGAGGTAAGCTAGAGGTCCTGGACCAGCGATGCTGCCCCCCAACCTTCCTGGAGATGATGAAACTCGTGCGCGACGAGGAGGCATGGGAGATGAGCCAGGCACTGGGCAAGGAGAAGTCCAAGGCGGGGAGCAGGGCCCGCCGGCCCTCCAATAGGCAGGTGGCGGTGGAGGTCCACGGCCCTGCCGTCCAGACCCCTGCGTCAGCAGCACCTTTGGTGGAGAGCGGCAACCAGACCGGGAAGGAAGGGGCCTCCCCGATCATCAAGCGTCGCCACCTGCCCTACAACTACAGCAGTGTCCAGGCCAACCCGGCCTTGTTTGTGAAGATGGAGACGGAGCTGGTTGCCATGCCGGAGCTGCCAGGTTCCTTTGAAGAGTCGGGAAACGGGGTGGGGGCTGGGGCAGTGAGCCACCCCAGGCCTTAAGCAGTACAGGCTCAAAATCACAGGGCAATTCTCCCAGCGGGAGATACTGGGAGGAGGGGGTGACCGAGCAGGCAGCAGGGAGGGAGAGTAGGGCCGGAACCTCGGATGAGGTCAGGGATGAGGTCAGAGCAGAGCGGGAGGTTGAGGCCACTAGCTTAGTTTCAGCAGGAAGGTTCCCCACTGTGCCAACCACAGACCACCTCTGGAGGCCCTGCAGCACAGCACAGGAGAGGAAGAGGGCCGGGAAACCTCCCAGAGAGTGGGGGGCCAGACGTATCAAGTTGGAGCCGCACTCGTGTAAGAGGGGAAGTGTAGCTGAGAACTCAGGACCAAAACCAGGTTCTTTTTCAATGCCACCCGCTAACGTCCACCCCAAGGAAACTGAGATGCAGGTGACTGGTGGCCCCCAGCCCACAGAAGATCAGGATAAGTATCCCTCGGGGCCACCCCATCCTGGGGTGGGGCCATCAGGAGCCAGGGCCAGGGAGGGAGATCAGTGCAGCCTGGAGAGAAGCCCCCAGAGGGGAGATCCCAGAGTCAAGCCTGTCTTCAGGATGATCTGCACTGCCCTGGGGGAGTCCCAGGAGGGTAGCCTGCAGGACGCCCTGCACCCTGAGGGCAACTGACATCTGGCCAGCAGCCTGGGAGGTTTAATGACCCTGTAGCCTGCTTCCAGCTAATAGATGTGAGGGCAGCTTTGACAATCAGGATGAAAAGAATTTGAAATTGGGGGTGGGGGATAATAGAGGAGGAAGAGGAGAAATAATAGAAATAACCAGAGAAGGAGGAGAATCAGAAATTAGAAGAGGAGGAGGAATAATTGGAGGAAGAGGAGAATCAAATTCAAGGAGGCAGAGGAATAGTTGGAGCAAGAGGTGGCGGAGACGAATCTGAAATTAGAGGAGGAGGAGGAAGACTAGTGGGAGGAGGAGGAGGATCAGAAATTAGAAGAGAAGAATCTGAAATTAGAGGAGGAAGACTAATGGAAGGAGGAGGAGAAGGATCAGAAATTGGAAGAGGAAGAAAAATGGGAGGAGGAGGAGAAGAAATTACAAGAGGAGGAAGAGAAGAATCTGAAATTAGAGGAGGCGGAGGAAGACTAGTGGGAGGAGGAGGAGGATCAGAAATTAGAAGAGGAAGAAAAATGGGAGGAGGAGGAGAAGAAATTACAAGAGGAGGAGGAGAAGAATCTGAAATTAGAGGAGGAGGAGGGAGACTAGTGGGAGAAGGAGGATCAGAAATTAGAAGAGAAGAATCTGAAATTAGAGGAGGAAGACTAATGGGAGGAGGAGGAGGTTCAGAAATTGGAAGAGGAGGATAAATGGGAGGAGGAGGATAAGAAATTACAAGAGGAGGAGGAGACGAGTCTCAAATTAGAGGAGGAGGATCAGAAATTAGGAGAAGAATCTGAAATTAGAGGAGGAGGTGAATCAGAAATTCAAGGAGGCAGAGGAATAATCAGAAATTAGAAGAGGTAAACAAGAATCTGAAATCAGAGGAGGAAGAATAATGGGAGGAGGAAGAGGAAGATAAGAAATTGGAAGAGGAGGAGCAGTTTAGGGAGTGGGAGATGGGGTTGTTTGTTTGTGTTCATGCAGGGCCACTGGAGACAGGAGCAAACCAGAGCAGGCCAACAGACCCCCAATGTCTTATCACCCAGCCCATGCCCAGGGCCACTGCTCTGGGTTTGGGAGACTTGGGGAGGCTGTCATCTCTAAGGAACCAGCTACTGGGGCCTCCCTAGGAGAGGACCCTTCATCATCCCTTGGGGTGGCCTGCTTCCTGCTCTGGAAAGCCCTCCTGAATCTCTGTAGGCCCTGTATTCTCTGTTCCACCCCCCCACCCCCTCCACCACACCACACCACCATCACAGATGCTGTTGCTTGTTCTTGGGAAGCTGTGTGTTTCTATCTGAGCAGTTCCTCCCTGGAGACCCCAGCCCAGCCTGGAAGACAGTGGGAAGGATGAATGGAGAGGCTCGAGAGTGGCAGCCCTCAAACTGAGGGCGACCTCTGGGAAGAAGAATGGACCAGGGACCGGGTAGCTGTGGGGAGCCCTGAGAGGACTGCTTGAAGATCCACCCCTGCTGTTGCCTGGGACTCCGTTTCCTTTGTCATGTAACGTGTTTTCCAGTGTCCTTTGCCTGTCCCTTAGACCAAATCATGAGGGCAGTTGAAGCTCCTCATTTGGGACCCACAAGGGAGCGTGGCCCCTGGTGGTGGTTACCTGTCCCCTCAGTTGTGATCCCTTCCCTTCAACAGTTCATTTAGTTTCATTCAATAAATCTTGTTGCTGAGTCTTACCTCTGCTGTGTGGCCTTGGGGGTTGGGGGATCGGGCCTACCCTAAGCAGGAGTAGATTTGGCCTGTGTTGGGTACAAGGCAGGTGTATGCTAACTATTAGGAAACTCCACACCAATTTCCAAAGTGGTGGGTTACTATCCCCTCGCAGCTTCCTGAGCGCCCAGTACATCCCTGAGGAGCCCCTAGGGTCAGGTCCTGCTGGAGTTTGGGACACTTGATGGAACACAGTGGCCAGAGATACAATTCTGGGGGTGTAGTGGGAGCAAAGCAGGGCCAGCAGTAGTCTCCATCTTTCAAGACCCATGGGCAGCCCTTGGCCCAGTACAGTGCACTAGGACCTTGGGGAGGTGGGGTAGAGCGGCAGGGTGGTGCTGAGCAACATGTCTGGGACCCCTTCAGCATTCCTCCTGCCATCTATGGCCTTCCCAGCCACCTCAGGGGGGAAGTCATGCCTAGAGGGTTTGGAGTTAGCCCTTTCTGGGGTGCCTGTTCCTCCGGGGACTCCAGGCCCTGCCCACAACAAGCTCCCTGCTCCTAGTCCTCAGGACCCTTGGCAGGCTCAGGTCAGAAGGAGCCTTCAAGAAGCTTCAGGGTTCCACGCTACCCAAATCTATCATTTAGGACCCAACTTCCTCCAGACCCTGGAACCCTGCTCATGAGGTTCGGTCTTGCAGGCCTGACTTTCCCTCTCAGAGCTCATCTGCTGCCATGAGTACCCTGAGCCGTGCTCCAGGTCCCTGCTGCCCCCTGACAATACTGAGCCTCACCTGAACCCTGGGATGCTGACAAATGGGCTTCAGGTATTGGCTGCCTGCAGGTGCAGGAATGACCCCTTCCCCTGTGACTTGGGTAAGACTCCACAGGTGGCCCTGTTTTCCCAGGACAAGGGCAGACAGCACCTCTTGAATGGTGAGGACACGTCCTCTGATCTGAGCCAGCACATACGTTCTTGCAGGTCCTTCCTAAGAGTAGGCTGGTCTCAGTATAGAATGTTCTGATGTTCTCCCCAATGATGTCACCCATTTACCCCACTTCCCGCACCCGGGATTGCTTACAGCTTTGCTCAGTTCTCTGAAAAGGGGGGCTGTGATGTGTCTGGAGAAACTGTCACTCACCTCCCTTTCACGAAACCCAGGTTCAATTCCTGGGCAAGGCAAAACACAGAGCCACCACTCAGCTGGCAGGAGAGCTTCGAGACTAAGACAGACTAGGAAGAAAGGCCTGGAGATCAAATCAGCCAAGGAAAACCCTCTTAAGGTCAGGGGTTGTCACGAGTCAGGCTAACAACATCACGGACGGAGCAGAATTCAACAAAATAAAATAAAGACATCTTGTGACGGGGTGGTTTGCTGTGAACAGAGGGAACAAATCCAATATCAGCCATGTTCCGGGATGGCATCTTACAAAACAGTAAATACCTTCATCGGGGAAGTTTGTAGGCCACAGAAAATGAAGTTGTAACAAGGAACACAGCCTTTGGTTGAAGGGCTCCCTATTGCAGTCTTCTCTCCCTCCGAATTCTTTCCAAGACAGTTGAATGTCCAGAAATGCTCTCCCAGTCAGTTTCTCTTATGGATCCGGGATTTGGTTTTATTGGACAGTGAATGGGGCCAGGTCTCAGACGGAGAGTGGCAGACTGCCCCTGGGTCCCTGGGCTTCACCTCAACACACCAGCCAGCTCCTCACACTATTTGGCTCCATTCCTGGGAGGGAGATGGATCCAGCGAGCTGGGCCCCAGTTCTCACCTAATCCAGTGACCGGTATGGTAAGAAAGGGCTGAGTCTTTGGCAAAGAATGCGTGCACTGCCCATTCTCTGAGGCTTCTCCTGTTTTTGTTTTTTCCCCCTGGGCTTTCTTACCCCAGGGCATGCACAGGGGATGGGCAGAAGGTCCTCTGGCTCTCTGACCCTGGAGATGGATGGGGGTTAGGCCCCCCCAATTCTCCTAACCCTGAAATTATCTGTGAAGCTCGCATCTTCCACTTTCAAGAAGTGTTCCTTGGGAATGCCAACTTGAAGGTTGGGGGGTTTCCTCTGTTCTCTGAGTGTGGAGAAGGTGTGTGTGTTTGTGGGGGGAGTTTTCTCAGTTCTAAAATCCTTCACTCTCCAAATGTGAAGATTGTGTGTGTGTGTGTGTGTGTGTGTGTGTGTGTGTGTGAGATTCCCTCGTGTTTCTGACTGGAAATTGAGGCTTAGCTCTCAGACTGTGGTGACTGTGAGGTGAGTCCCTGGGTTCCTGAAAATTGAGTGTGAGAGCTATTCTCATGGCTTTTGGGACCCAAAGATGAAGGCAGGGAAATGTTGTATACGTGGTTCCC